CCCTGCCGCCACCAGCTCCGCGCACCCTCTTGCACGTGCCGTGCGGGGGCAGGGCCAGGCAGGCGCCCTCCCCCAACCTGGGGCGCAATTCAACTGTCTGCCCGGGGCGCCAGACTGGCTCGGATCGGCCCTGGTGTGGGGGTGTCCCGAGATCACAGAGAGCACGGAGATACCCTTTAGATCAGAGGGGAGGAACCTTTTTTGGGTCAGGGGCCACTGACCCAAAGCAAAATCAGTCGGGGGGTGCACACAAGCGAGAAGCAAAAAAACAAAACCCCCAAACCCTCACTGACGTGGCTCCCAACTGAGAAAGAGAGAGACGCTCCCCACATCCCCCTCGCACACCAGAGCCTAGGGGGCCTGGGCTAGCAGAGTTTGTGTGCTCCAGCCCCACGGGGAAATGGGGGGGGAGCACCAGTGCAGGCTCCTCATGTTGTGGGGGGGGAGCCCTGAGCCTTGGGGGCTGGATCCAAGCAAGCCAGGGGCCACATCCAGCCCCTGGGCCTTAGGGTCCCCCCCCCACTTTAGACCCTTTGCTAGGGCTCCCATATTTCACGTTCCCAAGTAGCAGACACTGCTGGGGAGAAGGGAACTGGAGGGGGAAGGCAGATAGAGCAGCTGCAGTTCTCCGGCTGCTCAGCTCTGAAGGCAGCACTGATGTCAGCAGCAGCTTATTTCGTCATTTGGCGCTGTCTATAACCCACTATTCTGAAACGTCCCTTAACCCGCGTAGAATGAGGATAACAGGGATGTCGAAATAGCGAGCCCGAAATAATGGGCTTGCTGTGAAGATGCAGGATAGCGATTTCGGGATACTCTGATATCCCAAACTAGCACTGCAGTGTAGACGGAACCTAAGGGACTGGCTCCTTGTTCTTGTTTGTGTATAAAGCCACAGTCTTTGGACAAGGTTACAATTCTTGCTACTGTCACTGGAAAAGGCAGCCAGCACCCCAAACTGGAGCCTGTTGTCTAGCGTTGCTTAAAGTGCACAAATTTATTCCTAACAGCTCTTGCTTTGCACTCTGCGGAAGGCTTCAGTGCCGGAGTGCTGATTACATGCTTCATTTAGTGCTCCTAGGAGTACGTGCAATAATTTGCTATCGCTTTGGGGGCGGGGGGGAGGGTCATCACAGCCTGAAATATTTGCAAAGGCAGCAATAAGAAGTTGGAGAACTGCTGTCTTAGGGGCAGGCTCTGGTGTGCTGGGTGCAGGACAAAGCAAAGGCTGGCTACAGCCGGGCACGGTACTGCCCGTGCACCCCCAGCCTGGCCTGCAACAGTTCTAGCTCTGGCTCCAGGAGCTTGTGGGGTGCCCTCGGCGCCCAGGCTGGGCGGAAGCGGCCCTCCAGAGCGTGGTTAGAGTGGGTGGAATTTTATTTCACCAGCAACTGCAGCGCCTGGCAACGCACTGTGCTTCAGCCTCCCCGCCCCGATTCCGGGCCATGCGTTCCCTAAAGGAGCCGCAGCTGTGACTGAGAAGCCACTTTCCACCCAGGGGTGCTAAGCGATTGCCAGGAGACGGCATCAGCCCCTCCACACGCCCCCTCCAGGCAGGACTATGGGCACTGGCTTGCTCCCTGCATTGTGTGTCTTGTGAGCCCCCCGAATGGCACGTATGGGGGCCATTCAGACTTATCTGAGTCTAGCAGGTTTTGGGGAGACTCCAGTTCCCACAATGCCTTGCGGGAAGAGTGCCCAGCTAAGCCAGCGAGCGCCCCAGGCCACAGGGTGACTGCCTTTCCTCCTGACATCCGGCGGCCCCGCTCGCGGCTCAGTGCTCACCTGGAAACCGTCTAGGCTGGGGAAGACGCTCTGTGGATAGACGCGGTTCCAAGGGCGGCCGCTGACCCGGAAACACTTCCGGACGTTCACCTCCAGCTCCGTAGTGACCGGGGTGATCTTGTAGAGGGCACCAAACGGCTTCTCCGCCCCGTACTGGAAGGTGACCACTTGTCCTAGGGGGCGGGGAAGGGAGGCGGGAAGGGTGAGACCTTCCATGGACCCAGGCTCACGCAAGGGAAGGGGAGAAACCGCCAGGCTGAGGAGGAGGGAACCGGTGCCGAGGGTCTCGTGCTAAAGAGCCACTTGCCTGCAGCTTTTCAGACCCACTGGTGGCTGTTGCCACGGCCCCACCACAGAGCCCGGTGAGGCGGGGAAGCAGCCCTAGGAGCCGGTGTGATGCTGAACTCCCTGCAGCCAGACCATGGCCACAGCTGGCTGGGCTGCCTTGTTGCTCCCATGGCCACGCCAGGCAGAACGAGCAGAGGGAAGGTGACAGCCTCATGAGCACTGGGCTCCCGGCCGTGAAGAGTTGTAGTGTGTTCCCCCGCCAGGGAGCAGCACCTAGCACCTCCCTCAGGCTATCCCTGCTGTGTGGGGTAGGGAGGCACAGACATCCCTCCCGAGGCCCCACCCTCACACCGCCGGGGTCCCTGTAAGCTGGACCCTTGTGCAGCCCCCCTTTAGAGCTTCCAGTGCTGCCCAGCTGATTAGCAGAGCACCCCCAGCCAGGTTTGTGTTTCTACAGGTGGTGCACATTCGCGCATGCCTCAGTGCACATAAAATTATTCTGCACACGGATAGGAAAAATATCCACACATAGATGGAGAAGATTAGAGGGAACGTTGCCCCCAAGACCCTACCCACTCCTCTCCCATTGCCTGCCCTTGTAGCTGGTAGAAAGTTGAGGTGTGTGAGGCGTGGCCTCCCCCCCATTCCAGTGACAGGCTCCGGCTGGGCTCTGGGTCAGGCCCCAAGTTGAAGTCACCTTGATCAGTGGATTGGGACATGGGGGCATGTTAGTCTGGGGGGAGGGGATATCTGACTGGGGCTCTTCTGCAGCCTCCAAGCCCTCGCCTCTGAATTTGGGCCCCAGGGCAGGCCCTGGCCCTGCCCTTTGACGGCACCGTTGCCCCGCGGGTGCTTAGCACGCCTACCGCCGTAGTACTCGATCCGACTCTTTTCTCCCGTCAGGTTGTACCAGGCTTCAAAGGGCTCCTTGATTTCAGCGAACGGCATGTCAATCACCCCTGCAGGCCACATGCACAGGAGCCAAGTTAGCCCGCGTTGGAGCCCCAGGGACGTGCCGCGGGCTCGAGTGTGGATCCACCGTACAGACGCAGGATGAGCTCTGACGTGTCTGATTCTAGCCACACACCCTGCCATGCTCTGGGCACTCCCCCAGCCTGAATCATTTCACTCTCTGCAGCATTGCGGCTCCCTTCTTGCCCAGCGCCTGTCACCAGGCGGCTGCCCCGTGGAGATTTTCTCCTTGCGCTTGCCCTGTTGGGCCCCTCCCCAGTCGGTCCCCCCCAGCCGAGAGTGCGGACAAGGAGGGGGGTTCTGCTCCTGCCAGAGACAATATTAATTCACTGAGCAATCCAGGGGCTGGGTGGCGCAGAGAGACCTGGAAACTGCCCCACAAAGCGGCTGAGGATCCCCGGGGTCTGGGGGAACCCCAGCCTGGCAGCCCCTCCTGGCTCTGCCCCCCACTCAGGCATAGGAGGTGTCAGGGCTAGGGCGGAGCGAGGGGGTGGATTTGAGCATGATGCACTCGCTGATTGACAGGAGACAGTTCTAGCCCATGGAAGTCACTGGAGCCACGGGGCTGCTCTAACTTGCCGATTCGTTCCCCAGCAGGCATGGAGTACGGCTGCACTGGCTAGAGGTGCAATTTCCAGCCATAGGTGCCACCTTGCAACTTCCCTTCTGGGGAGGGGGAACTTGCCCCCACTCCCATCCCCCACTCAGCCCCAGCACCCCGCTCCCCCTGCAGCCTCTTAATGCCCCCACCCATGAGCGTGCACCATTCCCTGCTCCTCCCCCTCCCTGCCAGAGCCTCTTACACACAGGGGAACAGCTGTCCCCGGCGGGCAGGAGGCGCTGGGAGGGAGGGGGGAGAGTTGACCAGTCGACCTGCTTGTGGGTGAGAGGCATTGAGAGCCCAGTTGAGCTTGGCTGCAGGGCAGGAGGGGGGGGGGAGCTGAGCCCCACAGAGCCAGCGCCTCTGTTTCTGCTCGCTTTGATCAGAGAACAGCAGGGCAGCCGCAGCAGCTAGCAGCCCAAGCTCCATCCTGGCCGGGATCCTAGGCACATGCTGAGGCAGCTGGCCTGAGCCATCATCCACGCCGCTGGGGCTCCCTTGCTATTTCTAGGGCGCTAGCTCCAGGAAAGCCAGCTCATGTCCGTCTGCTTGCGCTGGAAACGACACCTGTCACGGTGCAGCCCGCTGCTACAGCCCCCCCGGCCAGCGCCCCGCCGCCGTGCCGACGCTGCGCTCTCAGGCCCGGGGGACAGGCCCTGGCGGTGAGAGGGGAATGAAGGGAAGAGGGGAGGCTTTTGGGAAAGGCCCTTCCCACAGGCACATTAGCTAGCTGGTTTGCCGCAGGCCGGGCTAAGGTCGAGGTAAAGGCCCTTTCTGGCTGGCCCCCGCCGGAGCTGTTTGGGAACAAAGAGCCAGCAAACAAGTCCCAGCCGTCCTTCAGACTGTGTAAACAAGGGAGCCACCCTCTGTTGCCTCCCACACTGTTCCAGCACGGCTGGGGCTGCTTTTCTGTCTCTTTCCTCCTGGCTCACACTCAGCCCTTTCCTGGAATTCCTTCCCAGTCTCCGCACTGAGTTAATGTCTCCACCTAGCAAGGCCCCACGGCCATGCGGCCTAGAGCCTTGGCAATGCCCAGGTGAGCCAGTCTCGCCCAGGCCTAGATCCGACAGCATTCCTGGGAAGTGTTTTCAATGAGCAAAAGGGTTGAAATATACTGTAATTGCCTCCCTCTAAAGGGGAGGCAGCATAGCCTAGTGGCTAGAGCACAGGCGTGGGACTCAAGAGACCTGGTTCCTATTCCCAGCTCTGCCACTGGGCCCATGGGTGGCCTTGGACAAATCATGTCCCCTGTATGTGCCTCAGTTTCCCCACCCGTCAAATGAGGATGATACTGATCCTCTTTGGTAAAGCACTCTGAGATCTGAGGAGAGCTAGGTGGTCGTTAATTGTCATTATTAGCTGCCTGGCATGGCTGCAGCATGGACACGGAGGAGCCTGAGCTAGCTGGGCTGTAACTACCTGTAACTATCTCTTAAACTGATGGCCACGTGGGGGAGACAGCTTGACTCTTAAGACAGTCCCTGCCCTGTGGTGGGGGAGTTGGGGATTCAGGGGCCAGACCCTCGCACTCAAGGGTCCCGGCGTGTCCGGAGGCACAGATCTGGTTGCATGCCTGAACCCCAAAAGCTCAGTGGTGCAGACTTGCTACATGGAGCAGTCTCCATTGGGGACTCTGGTGTGAGATGCACTGGGAGACAGAGTGGACAGAGGGCTGATTATTTACCCTTGCTTACAAGGGATGAGGCTCCCCTGCTTCCTGGCCCTTCCCATATTTGTCTAGCTGGCTGGCTTTGTCTGAGAATGGGGGAAACCGGTTTGATTCCACCTCGACATTGACACAGCTCCAGCCCTGTAGAATCTCAGCTAAAACCAGCAATGGATTCATCCTCGCACCACCCCTGAAAAGTACCATCATCCCCATGTCACAGACGGGGAAACCGAGGCACAGCGACTTGCCCACGGTCAACAAGGAGAGCCACAACTGAAGTCCCGGCCCAGTGTGCTAAGCACAGGGCCTGTCCTCCCACTACGGACAAAGGGGAGTTTAAGTGCTAAGAAGTGAGCTGCTGGTCTCTGTTGAGTACTGAAGGACGTTCCCTTTTGGCACAGCAGTCAGGCCATGTCTGGGGGAGGGGAGATTGTGGGAGAACTCTAGGGACTACGTCTAGACTGGCATGATTTTCCGCAAATGCTTTTAACGGAAAAGTTTTCCATTAAAAGCATTTGCGGAAAAGAGCGTCTAGATTGGCACGGACGCTTTTCCGCAAAAGCACTTTTTGCGGAAAAGCGTCTGTGCCAATCTGGACACACTTTTGCGCAAAAAAGCCCCGATTGCCATTTTCGCGATCGGGGCTTTTTTGCGCAAAACAAATCTGAGCTGTCTACACTGGCCCTTTTGCGCAAAAGGACTTTTGCCCGAATGGGAGCAGCATAGTATTTCCGCAAGAAGCACTGATTTCTTACATGAGATTGTCAGTGTTCTTGCAGAAATTCAAGCGGCCAGTGTACACAGCTGGCAAGTTTTTCTGCAAAAGCCGCTGCTTTTGCAGAAAAACTTACCAGTCTAGACACAGCCTAGCTGGTTTCATAAGGAGTGTTTTCAATCTCTCTGGTTCAACTTTGAATTGCCACAGAAGCGCCACTCCTCCGCTCTGCACGGCTTTGAGGACTAGGGGTGGGGCAGCGCCATGGTCGGGAAGAGCTAACGGTTGACTGTCTTAGGCCCCACCCCTTCTGCCCTTGGCCCCGCCCTTTCCAGGGGTGCGGAGCCAGGCCTCTCTCCCTCCTTGCCCTGGGGCCTACATAGGGTTGCCAGGTGTCTGGTTTTCACCTGGACAGTCCGGTATTTGTGGCTTCTATCCTGTAAAAAAACAGAAAATACTGGACATATAAAATATCTGGTATTTTCTGTTTCTCAGATGGAAGGCCGGCAGGGACATTCTTCCCCTGCTAGGTTGGTGGGGGGAGCGGGGAGCGTTAGGACAGTGTCCTCTCCCCTCCCCCCAAACAACTTTGGCCCTGTTTAAATTTTTTTTTTTTTTGCTCAACCAATTTTTTCCCCGCCATGTTTGGTGTTGTGTGTGAAAGTAACGCTAGCCCTGCGGTGGCTGTCGGCCCCGGTGGGTCTGCGTGTTTATGGCACTATACAGACGATCAGCTCTGGGGCCGAATTTCCCCATTTGCTGAGTGGGAATGATCCTAGCTCCCTGCTTCCCAGAGCTCCTGAGCCGTTTAATACAGCAAGTGCATCACCTTACAGATCAGAGGTGCCAGATCAGGGCTGCCGGGGACCCTGAGTGTTTCTGAGGGGGGCAGGGCAGCGCTGTTCTGGAGCTCGAGGTGTCACCATGAGATGCTCGCACCGCAGCTGTCTGCAGGAGGAGAGCATGCTGGGACACAGACCCCAGCCCAGCATGCCCGGCCCGCTCACCTGACACATGGTAGATGTTGCCAAAATCTGGGGTGGCCCCTCCTGATGTGCATCCTGCTCCTGCAAAACAATCATCAGGCTGCTCATGTCTCGGCATCGTCAGACATTTCCCTCCCAAATCAGCCTGAGGGGCCACGAGACAGGGAACCTTTCCAGCCTGCCAAGGGCTGCCCCGACAGTGCATTGCCGTCAGCTGCCCCCCGCCTCGCGGGAGTGCAGCAAGGCACGTAAGGAAGAGCCAGGCTGCAACCGCACGATCCCACTGAAATCCCATTGGGGCTACTCAAGTGCAGAAAGTCAAGCATGTGCTTAGCACCTTGCTGGACCGGGCCCTGCGACAGTGGGTATGGGGAAGCGGCGCTGGCTGCCCCACCTTAGGAGTAGGGGTCACACCTGTGGGTGGGGCAGGCCTGCCAGAAGGAGCGTGGATCCGTGACAACCCAAGAAGGGTTTCGTTACACTCAAGGCTCTTCATTATCGGTATTTGCTGAGTCCCCAACCTCCCAGGGTTTGAAAAAGCCACAATTCAGCTTTTATGAATTCTCTCGTTCAAATGCTGGCATTTTGGGGCTGCAATGAAGGGCCAGCAGAGACAGAGCTAACCCTGCTGCGGCTCTGCAGTCCCCCACTTACTGACTAATCAGCTGATTAGCTGCTTGTGATGGGGCAAGACAGCCCCCCCCCCCCCCCCCCCCCCTCCCCACGCCC